TTTTCGATTGTAATCTTGTAATTTCTTCAGAGAAGTGTGCACGTTGAAGTTCTACGTGAACTATATACTAGCGACTCGGCATAGTTGTAATCGGACCCTAAGACATACGAACGTCGCGGTAAAGGCTTCGCGAATCGACAAACGTAAATTACGCTACGCAATAATTTCGACCAAGAGGACAAGCGGTTCGCCAAAGCAATGATTGGAGAAACCTCGCTCGAAATGTTCGCCACTAGAGCGTGTCTCCTCTCTTCCGGCGGTTGTGACACTGACGAAGGTTCGAAATCGGTTATCGGCCATTGCGAGGGATCCAAGTGAACCCAAGAAGGTCCATGGAACCAAAGCGGGTGGTCCATTATTTGCATCGGGGTGAGTCCCCGGGATAGACAATCGGCGGGGTTTTCCGTACCGGACACGTGATAAAAGTTCCGCGTTTCCAACTCGTCTTGGATCTTGGCCACTCGGTTCGCGACAAACGTATCCCAACGGTGGGGTGAAGAATGAACCCAGCATAAGGCGACGGTACGGTGGAGTCGGAAAAGGCAAATATCCTTTCTATGTGAACTCTATCCCTACATGCGCTGATAACTGCGGTAATAAGCTTGGTGAGTACTAATATTGCGCAAAGCTCTAAGCGCGCCAGAGAGACAACCTTACGGGGGTCTCCCCCCTCTCGACTTAGAACTAATGAGGCTAATCGAATTTCTACCATTATTCTGAACGTGGAAATATATAACGCCCCCGTAAGCCATTAGAGGTTCCTTTATAATCTGTCATCTGAGCTAGCTATGGGTGGGACGTTCACCTCCTCCATCTCCCAAAATTTGCGGACTAACGACTCGAGCGGTTCGACAGCCATACCACAATAAGAGGTTGCCGAAATACTATTTATGATGGGGGCGGAGCCAACGATAACATAGCCCAATACGGTTTCCAGTGCGTAAGGCGCGGTATGCGAGGAGTTGCCCCCGACCTTATTGTTTAACAAAAGATGAGGGAAGATCGATGCTCCAATGAGTATGTCTATGTTTCCAGGAACGGCGTAAGTGTCGTCCGCTAGAGTCAAATTTTTAAATTCAATCATTGCCGAGGTGTCAACCGTAACGGTTGGCAACCGTTCAGTGACCCTATCCACTACTAGTGCATTTATATCAAAGTTAACATTACGATCTATCCGAGAATAAAATTTTAAATTAATATATCCCTGGGTAGCTTTACTAGTACCTCCGATGTCTTTGACTACAGGACATGAAAGTGACCTATTTATTACTAAGCCTAAGCGCTGACAACATTGTCGCGTTATAAAGCTATTTTGGGCTCCGCTGTCCAGCAGTGCACGGACGCTTTGTTCGTTTCCACGCGAATCCCTAACCAAAATACGCGCCGTACCCAGTAACACGGTTGAAGGAGGTTGTGCTCCCATATTTGCCAATGAGCACAGAGCGACATCACCAGGTCGACCGCTAGAATCGTTGACTTTAGTAGGGGTGAATTCCTTGTCCGCTTTACTTGACGCCGCTATGTTGCTATTTTCAAAATGTAATAGCGTGTGATGTTTCCTGGCGCACTTGCTACATACGGAACTCGAATTGCATTTTGCAACTAAATGCTTATCGCTTAAGCAGTTCAGACATAGGTTGTTTGTCTTTACTAATTTATAACGTTCGCTTGGTGAATATTTACGAAAAGTCGCACAATTATATAAATTACCGTGTTTATCTTTACATACGATACAAGTATGCTGAAGTGATGTTGACGTCGCGGTTACGTACGTTAACGACCCTGCTATTTTAGATGGTTGAGTCTGTCTACGGTCGACGCACCTTTTAATCTCCTGTTTAACGTTCGGAGAGCGCTGCATCACCTTTATTTGATCTCGCACGAACGATGCTAATGAATGAAAGGAAGGCATCTCCGAGCTACGATTCTCCATTTCAAACGCACGCACGGTGTCGGGGTCTAATTTCTTTAGTGCAATATGGAGAAACACCACGTCCATAAGGTCATTAAATTTTATCTAAGTGCAGCCACCGATGCCACAAATTTATCTAGAAACTGCTCTATGCCGTTGATGTTCGCGGATGATATAGGTTTAAGATCGAATATCTGGTTCAAATATTCGGAAGCTAACATTCTCCTATCTTCATATTTAGTTTTAAGCGTTTCGAATATTAATAAGTAATTGTTTGCTGTAGGTGTAAAACCAGAGCAGATCGACTGTGCCCTGCCACTAAGTTTACTAATTAAGTAATATAATTTTTCAGCGTCCGACAACGATGGGTTATTGTGTATATTGTTTTGAAAACTACTGAAGAAGAAGGGCCACGTCTTAATATCACCATTGATAACCGGAATATCTATTGGCGGCAACCTAATTGAGTCACGTGGACGTACCTGTATTTCCGGCTTTGCTTCGTTTTGAGATTGTAGGAGTTTTGCCGTTCTTTTCACGCGACACAACATATCTTCGAATGCCAGCAGCGGTTGGTAGTTCACTATGTATTTCGGGTCGATTTGTAATTCCAAATGATTAATTTGGTCTAATATTCTTTCGTAATCCGTCCGCAAAGAATCCACCGTTTCTATTTCATTCAGAAAAGTTTCCCGCACCGCTTCTACATTAATGTTCTTTATGTGATCGCTAATGCTTTGTATACGTGAAAAAGTACGTCCCTCTTGGCATAAAGCGTTTTAATTTTAAATTCACTTCCACTAACTGCCATTTTAAATTATTATAACAAAGTTATATTAATCACAATTAATCTCACAACGCACAACGATGGACGATGGACACTCGGTATGCCGTATTACGTAATTAAATCGAACACCTGTTACAGCGAGTCGAGGTGACGCGTTGCTCGCTAACTCAATATTTTTATCAAATTGTCGGGTAAGCGTACCAAACGGTTGCTATTACACTGTTTCAATTATTTAATAAGCTTTAAATTTAACCAAATACGAGCGCTATAAATAAATAATTCTGTTTGCGAGTACCTAATCAAAATTTAAATTTAAACGAACACTATTTAAGTCTATTCCATAGATTAGAGTGCATTATCTAAATAATTAATTTAATAATTCGACCAGAAAATGGTTGGACGACTACTAAACACCAGTCCAAATCCTGCCGAAGTAACCATAAAATGGTGGAGCCACGTGTCTAAGGTTGCCGAAGTCTAATTCCCCGGTCGAACCTTAAACCTATTACGCGAGCTATTAATCTAAGTGGACTGTATCTACTAAATGTTTCTACGCTTATATAACGACGACTATAGCATGCGGTACAATGCACTCGCTCTTCCCTAAAATGAACTATTATTTGCGAAATCGATGAAAGGAATCCTGCTTGATTAGGAAAACACAAAATTGGAGCGGGTTAAACAATTATATCAAGCAGGCAGTATTATTAGGAAATGTTGACTCACCGGGATGTTCTTCTATGCGGTCGAGCACTATAACTGCGACTTCTGGAACGTCTTCTGGACAGACACTCTGGGGAGAGGCGGTACGCGACTATATCTCACACGAGGTGAGGCGGGTTTCCTGGAGCTCGACTGCTTCCAGGCTAAAGCGGTTCTACTAGTGGTGTGGTTCCAATGACGAGCGCGGCGGGAAGAGCTCTTTAGGACACTATTATCCTAGGCGGTGTGGTTCCAACGATGAGCGCGGCCGGAAGAGAGTCTTTAGGACACTATTATCCTAGGCGGTGTAGTTCCAACGATGAGCGCGGCGGGAAGAGACCTGCGCGTCGGTCGCGCGTGCCTTATATATCCTCGGTTCCGATGATTACGTGACATTCTAGAATCACCTTCTTTCCCCTCCCACCCCACCACCCCGATGTGTCGATAGGAGGGTATGAATGATATCGTTTTGGAAAGGGATAACCGACTTGGCAACCTACCGTCAAATATAATAAATACGAATGGTTTTCCGCGCAACCAAACTATGAATAGACATAAATTAAATAACATTTAGTGTGAAATCAACCTTAAGTTATAACAAATAAAGTTCTTTTTTCCGTTATTGCCTTGCGAGCTACACTCTCACGTGCAAGAGCTCACGTCTCATGTGCGCTCTTATTTACTGATATGGATTTCTTGCGCCGACCCGACATCTAGTTGGTATTGTTGATCGAAGGGCATTAATTACAATATTTTCTATACAAAACTAATTGCTACACTAACATGCTATACATCAAATAGGTAGTCTGGTACTTTATTAGTATATTCTAAAGGTTACTCAAAACATTAACATTGTAAAAAGTTATTAAACGAAATGTCCCAAATTTTCATAATATTTGGGTACATTAATTCTTTGATTTTTCTATAACTACCAAATGCGTTTAATTATACAAAATATTCCTACACTTCCTTAATCTATAAGCCATATGCTAATTCAATGTCATATTTACAACTCTTTTAGAACATAAAATTATTCTCATTATTTTCAGTGTGAACTATTACTACGTAGTACTATTATTTATTCCGTGCTATTACGCAGTTAATTAAAAACTTCTAGAGAGTTCTACGATACGACGCGCTGCGATTGGTCGATTTTTCTTAATACATAGAAGTTGTTTACATCAATTGTTATCAAAACGTCATTCTATACAAATACACTAAGAGTTACGAGTATAAACATGCTACACAACTATATCAATACACGTTTTCACCCAGTTTTGTCGGTAATGTCACTACACACAATTTCACTACAAAAACAATATTCTTTCATCACTTTGTTTCTTAGCATTGTTAGGCCGTCGCGAACAGATAGTAAACAACCTTTGATTAGATATTCTCCATGCAGTTTTTCACATATTACGAATTATTTATTGCTATGTCTAGTAAGTCAAAAAAAGCCGAAGGTAATATTTTATTTTAGATTTTCTGCCAATTTCATAGATCACTTTTTTTTTTGATCCAATAGATCTACTCCTCCCATATTTTTATTATATTTACAAACAATATCGGGACATGTAACCTCTAAACATCGTGCTGAACCTACTTGTTTACGTTTCGACTTGTGAGTACTGGCGACATGAAATTGGTGAGTACGACAGTCTCTCCTAGTCCTATTTCTGGTCCCGATCTTTTTTTACCCGTGTATAAGTCGAAGTGGAATAAATATCCTGTTTTAGAATCGGCGCGGCACCACATTTTGAAACCTCTCTTCACAGGTTTATTTTGCATGTATTGCTTCATGACGTTATGCCCTTTGAACTTCACCATGTGTTCATCTATGGACTGGGTAATGGTATTATTCATGGCTGATTGAAAAGACGAATTAAAGTGATTCATCACTCCTCGAATTTTATAAGCTCTATCGAAATATGGCGTTATAGGTGGTGGTTGCTCCGAGTTATTGCAAGAATGTAAATTTCTTATTTCTTCGAATTTCGATAAAGGCATAACTGTGGCTAAATAAGGCACACCCATATCAGGTTCAGTAGACCAGTAATTTCTGAGAGTAGGTAACACGTGATCACCCATAACATAATTCATACCGATAAAAGCTGTCATTTCTTGAAGGTCTGTTCAAAACTGAACCACTGTTATGAGCATAGCGTAAGGACTCCGGTAATATAATTTCTTCAATTAATGCCTTGATATTCGTAGTTTCCTCAAAAACATCTATGGGTTTCAGAGATTCTGACTGTTGTAGTGTGTTTACCTTACCAAAGTCATAATAACCAGTCTCAGAAAATAGGTAAGGCTGATAAGTGTTCGTCTTCAACTTGAAGTCCAGTGCTGCACCACTCAATGGCGAATCAGGAGATGATGAAGGACCAGGAGTTGAATCTGGATCTGGGGTGGAATCTGTTGCACCTAAGGGCTCGATTATAAATTCAGATACGCAAGCTTCCATACCCTGGAGAATGAACGCCTGGTCTTCTTCATCCAAGATTAGTGCATCTTCATCATCACTATTATCAGCATTGAGATACCTACTCCTCTATTTCTTTTTCATTTAAATGAAATATTCTAATACCCCTCCGAGCCTAAAACAATAAATAATTGTATAAATTTACTATAATTATTGAATATGGAACATAAAATATAATATTCGGAATGTGAGAAGCTGCTGACCTTTCATGCATATTGGGACGCCCGTGTCCCTACTAATATATCTTGTATTTTCATTGCTTTTATAGGTAACAATACAATAAATAATAATAAATTCATAATGACTACTTACCATTCGACCACTAGCAAACACAAAAATTATCAAAACTGCAAAAACTATATTTTAATTAACTTTTAAAATTATTTACGAAGCGCGCCAAAACATCCAAGTAATAAAGAGATATTTTTTCTCTTTTTACGCGCCGCGCTACCAACCTTAAAAAAATAAAAGTTTCGTTCAAAAATAATTGATAAAGAATACTGTTTTGTTTTTAATTATTGACTATATCAGTAAAAATATAAGTCAAAATTTAGGGATACCGGTGTCCCATTTACGTCAAAGGGTTAAATAGCCTAGTTTTAAGGCTGTTACCAGACACCCAGCAAACAATTTAACGAAAAAAAATTAATATCGTTCTTGAGAAAAAGTTGACCTACTACCTCTCTGTGACCCTTTATCACTAGTGTGCCCGATTACTGTTCTTGACGATGCCGCTTCTTCGGTCCTTTGACCTACTTTTTCGACCACCGTTTCACTCCTGGATATAACGGATTGTTGTGCGGTGCTGGCCTGCGTACCACTGGTGTCCGTCCTGTTGCTTGTCGTCGCCATGGACGTCCCTGAGTCCCACGTGCATGTGGACGTGTCGGTGGTGGCTCCACTTGAATGAGTTGCCCCATTTGAGGCAGTAGCTGTGGTCGTCAGACTGATATTTTAAAATAGTGGTTTAAGAAATTTTTCATAGGTTTATTCAGTCCGGGCTGAAATTCGGTTATGTAGCTCGGTCGTTTGAACACGCAACAACAATAGATCTTTTAAAAACCAATTTCATAAACTTATTGCTGCTCAGATATCGTGGGAGACATGGGATGAATGGTGAATCATGGGGTTATAGCCCGAGGCAACAGATTCCACTGTAGCACTTTGGAAATGAAAATTAGAAAATAACCTTTTAGGAGGTTGTATGTGTGTGAAATCACACATTCATTCTCCGATTTCATGGGATATTAATTTTTTTTTGTTTATCGAGACATGAAAATGCCTTTTAATTTAATAGAGTGACGAACAAATTGAAAGTTTACCTGATAGTAAATAGTTACTCTAAGACTATGTGTAAGTATATATAGCGCACAGGACACCTACAATGAATTTGAAAATTTACGTCTCATAGCCTGAGAAAAAGGGCCGCCTTGCCCCATAGAAGTTCCGGATTAAAGATAAATCGAAATGATAATATGATTAATAGATTAATATTGATTAACAGTATTAACTCGATTGTCGTTGATGCGTCATTATTATCTTTCTTATTAAACTGTACAAAAAGTTTTGTCGGCAAATACACTGGTAGCGAAGATAATAAGTAAGATTTCAAGATAAACAATTAATGGTGACAAATGAGCGCACAGACTACCTGATGGTAAGTGGATACTGTGACCAAAGACGCCTACAGCTAATATATCCGATTAAAAATCAAAACACAACACGCTGCAGCTACTCGTATATTATGGTTGTAGCACGAATGGGTTGGCTCAACCAGGGAAGGACCACGCTCTCACAGAACAGCGCCGTAAAATAGCAACATAATACTGTTGTGTTTCGTAAGGTGAGTGTAGAGATCCGGAGACCCTTTTTTTACCGGAAACGAGGCAATCCATCTTAGTCCTCAGGAGTGACAACGCATATCTGCGTTTTGATTCTTAATCATTCACTTAAGCATTCACTTTCGATCAAGTGGAATGTATGCTCGTTTGTCACCCTTATTCTATAAAAAAAATTCAATTATCCGCCTTAATTATAACTCTTAAAATAAGTGGAGGAAAATTTAAAATTGGAACTAATGCTATATCTTGCCTTGCTTTTTGTTATTTATTGATTAACATAGTATTGTCTTGGTGGATGAGCGGGGTACCCAGTAATACAGGTTCCCAACCTAGTACAGGGGCCCTTGCGACTGGTTTAAAATGTATCATTGTAAATCAATAAATCATTTTTCTTTTTTTTTTTCATTTTCATTCTATAAAAAAAAAATTCAATTATCTGCCTTAATTATAACTCTTAAAATAAGTGGAGGAAAATTTAAAATTGGAACATTCTTATTTAAAAATTATTACGTACTGGTAGAGACATGCTGTAATTATCTCATGGTTCTAGAACGAATAGGTCGACCTGGGAAGATCCACGCTCACACAGAATACAGGCGTAAAACAGCATCTTCATGCTGATGTGTTTCGTATGGTGATTGTAGAGAACCGGATACCCTTTTTGCTAGATACGAGATATACCATCTTAGCCCTCAGGGATGACAACGCATCTGTATTTCAAATTATTTATCCAGGGTAGATGAAAATGCCTATGGGAGACAGCATTCACTTACCATCAGGTGGACTGTGTACTCGCTTGTCTTCGTCACCCTAATTCTATAAAATAAAAAAATAAGACTAGAAGTCTTCTGCGCGGTTTGCCTTATTGTTATTCTGTAAATGAAACACCTTTTCATCGGGCTGTAAAAGTCTATCGTTGGACGTAGCCCCCCCCTTTCTCGTTGTAGGGAGCAGGTGTTGGGCAAAATCGTTACTTTTGGCAGGCGGTTGACGATCACAGCACTAGACATCTCGGACCTTCGATGCTGCTGCCCGTCACCGGTTAGTGTATTTTACTGCCGTAACTAAGATGACAATCGGAAGCCATAACTTTTATTTCAATTCTCATTTACGCCTCTTATGCTAGTTCGCAACGGGCGCGAGCTCTGAGTCCGATAAAGATGTCAAAGCCAAACTGGCTAATAATTTCTTTAATAGGTTAAGGGTGACAAACGAGCACGCAGTTCACCTGACGGTAAGTGCTTGCTGCGACCCATAGACATCTACATCTATCCTCGATCACGAATCACCCGTGAGTACTAAGATGTAATGCCTCATTTCCAGTAAAAAAGGTCTCCGGTTCCCTACATTTACCATACGAAACACAGCAGCGTTAAGCTGCTATTTCACGCTGATATTCTGTGAGAGCGTGGTCCTTCCCCGTTCGAGCCGACCCATTCGTGCTACAACTATACTATTAATATAGCTGCAACGTGGATCCACTACAACAACAAACAGCATTTTCGTCACAGAAAATAAATCAAGATACGAAATGGGATGAATCTGAAGGTAATTCATTCTCTAACGTCACCACCACGCGACCATCCAAAAATTTGTATTCTTACAGAAGCTAAAAAACACAAACTTTTATTGAAATTTAACTAATAGTAAGTTAAAGTTTACTTATGAAGTTTGATACAAAAGCCAAGAAAATAATAGTCATAAGTTGAATAAAATGTTATTAGTAAGGAATTACTAATTACTAATCAGATATCAGTGGGCTTATAATGTTTAAATGTTTTAGTCCAAAGTTCGAAATGTTTTGCACTTCCGTCATCCATCTACCTGTCAAGTTTGACAGCTAACGCAAATCCTTACGACTGAAGAGGTTCAAGTTCAGTGCATACCACGTTTAATGTGGGGAATATGCCAATTTAATCTCCAAGTGTTAACCTCACCCGCACTTGTTGGACCCGATTGCTGGTAGATAACTACGCATCTGTATACTTCTTTGATTGAATTCGGGTGCAAGTGTTCATAGTCTGCAGTCATAGATCAATACGGGTCACCGGCGCCAAAACTATAAGCATCTAAAAAGTAAGGTTTTTACTCGTATAAATCATGGCTGCATATAAATGTTTCTTTTTTTGTTTTTTCCATAAATTTTACGCCATATGGTTTTTAGACGTATTTACTTATTTATTCTTTATCTAAAATAGGGCGATAGATAATTTCAATATTAACTACGGAATCGATTGAAAATATTTCTATTCTACGTAATAACCTAGCTTATTCATAGTGACGGTGAAGATATCATTTTATCATAATGGATAATTCCTGTTTCCGAAGATTGTAAATTATGTTATTAATTAATAATATTAGCTGCGTAAGCAAACGTGAATGCTGATTGTAAGTAGGGATATTACGTTGTACATATAATACAGGGTTTCCCAAACTTTTTCAGGTCGCGGCGCACTTTCGGGTTTAGTATTTTGTTTCGGCGCCCTAGCTAGTCGAAATAGGGTACAAGGATTTCCTAGGTGTGCGTTGTTTGTAGTTAGCAGTGGCTGCATACAACTGCCGGTACGACATACTCCGCCGATCGTTGAGTCCCATGATTCCGTGAGGCGTCGAGGTCACCGGCCCCTAGGTGATTCTTGGCACTTTATGCGTTCCGTGCATCTTGTGCCCAGTCGCGTAGTAAAGTGCCACCATCGCACTTCCCCCAACCCTTTTATTTGTAAAAGGGGTAGGCAGTGCCCCAAGTGAGGAAAGCCACTTACTATTTTATCACCATCGTATTACAGATAGGGCCTTTAGAATACAACTGACGGTGTTAGGTTAGGCTACATAATGTCAGGTAGGGACAAGGGGGAACCTCCCCCTCCAATAAGAAAACCACTGGACCGAAAAGGTGTGTTGGATCGACCACTGATTGTGAGGGATCTGGCGAATCCGGAGCGCACAAGAGTTGTGTCATCCTTCTCACAGATCCCCCAAAGAAAACCCGTCTCGCCGCGGAAAGAGCCCGCACCGGGCGTCGCGCTCACGCCGGCCGTGTCTGAGCACACGGTTAGGCGGGAACCGTCGCCCCAGCAGCAGCGGGCAATGAAAACGGCTAGACGTCATACGCCTCCAGAAACCGAAGCCTCCTTACACGAAAAGAGGCAACGGATTGGCTCACAGCTATCTTCCGAT